AGTCATTATTATCAAAACGACAAAACCAAACAACTGTTACGCAAGGCTTTATTGAGTTTAGAGATATGCACATAAAAATAGCTGTAAAAATAAAAATATCAATAGCATGGCAGGGATTAGTGAATGATTTTTGCCACAAGCGCCTGAGTAACTATAATTTTCGGCCATTAGCAAACATTAATCGCCTTATATATCGCCACATATCGTGGGATTAAATAAGTAATAAGGTGAAAATATTTATAATCCTCTCAAAACTAATACGTGGACAAACAGTCTTAAGTCTTCACTTATCTAAATAGTCGCATTTTATAAAAAAGTGTACGTGCTGTAGGCCATTCAAGTTCTTATGTTAATCAATTGTGTTAAAAATGTTGCGCGGTCAAGCATGTAATAGATTACGTCATCAAAAGTTCAATTCGATAAAATAAGAGTGAAAATAGTTTAACTTGAAAGATATTGTTCACAAACGTATTGTTTGTAATTATTACTAGTTGTTGATGATGAATATTTTAAGTTGTGAACATTTTTAAATATTGATCGATTGACCAAAAGACCAACTCGACTAGGGCGACAACGCCTTAAACAAACAAGATATGAGAGCTGGAACGAGCTTCTAAGACCAACCCACATTTCTAACTTACAACGCTGATTGGTTGGATAAGGATCAGCCCACTCTGGTTGATGACGTCTGCAAGTTTCCCTCAACCGTTACTATAAAAGGGCGTGCACAACACCCCAACCTTCAGTGGACTAGCGGAGTAGAAAGCATGTGAAACGTTAAGAAGCTCAACCTTACAGGACAGACAACCAAAGACAAGAACAGAAAACAACGAGGTCCGAAAGGACGAAGAATCCGAAGAGAAGAGAAGAACGAAGCCAAAAACTAACATTAAAAAACGTTAGTTAACAATTGTAAAAGATCTCCTACCTCGCGTAGAAAAGACTGTTATAAATGAAAAACATATACCAACTAGGATAAGGAGTTGTTGCAGAGGCATTAAAATTCTAAAATGGCTTGCAGAATTTATAGTTTTTTTGGAGTCTGAAAAACGTCCCCCGGCCTACGGCCTCGTTACATTTTTTTTGGATCCGGGCCTCGCAATCGGTAAATAACATATATATCTTCGTTCGCATTGGGCGACACAAGGGCGACACCGGGATTTTGTCACCAGCAGACGGGTTTCACTTCTCGCCAATAAAGCGCTACGAAAAACCAACTCCGACAACTGGTATATAATAAAAAATTAATCAACTGTTATTGTTTGTATGTTTTCTTGCAGGAAACCAAGCACTCCGTCCATCCGATCTTATATCTAATCATATCATCCATCGTTTGGGAGAGTGCCACATTCTCTGTATTAGTCAAGAAAATTGCTATGGTTACAACTACAGAGTGAGGTCAAGCAACCTTTATACAGCAAACTGTCAGTTCACTGCATGAAAAGCGCCGTATTCTAAGGTATTCACATGTGAATACGGGTGTGAATAAAACACATATTGCAAGCGTATTCCGACATGGAATATTAGTGTGAATACGGCATCGTATTCTTCAGTATTCTAAGTGTGAATACGCCGTGAATATGCCGCGTATTCTGACCAATATTCACACTTGGAATATCTCACTTCTCACTTAATCCGTGTTTCCACAAAATAAATTCATCAGCTGACATTTTTAAACTTTATTTTGAATGGTGAAAAATTGAAGTGGAATTTTATAAATAATTTGGCGCAAAAACCAAAAAGCGCGCTTTCGAGTTTAATAAACATTGAACGAGGAGATCGTGCGTTTGTGGCTGTAAGAAATCTTTTTGGCGCTTACAAATAAGGGAAGAGAGTCAAGGATGCCAAGGGCTTGGTAAAGTCTGGAAACTCTGGTCGCAGTTAAAGAGCATGCCGGCGAGTATTTGTATGCTACGATTCCCACGAAGTCTGATGAAGAAAATGCGCGAAATAGAAATGAGATTGCATGGCGCGATTTCCACAGCACCTTATGTTCGCTAATACGTGTAAAATGATAACGAATATTAACCGTATTTCAAGGATTTTTTATTGTTCAAAACCGAAAACGCATATACTGTTTGTGCGTAAGGGACCTCTTCGGTGAGTGACTAAATATCGTGCAGTTGAATTCAATAGCCGGCCTATAGACTATACCCTAGACCATGTTGGGAGTAATCTCAACATTTTATTAACAAATTACCTGGTGATAAGAGGTTAATGGGTTATGCGTTCGCAGCCTGTGCGAATGTTTAGGCATTTATTGTCCCTCAAGTCTGTCCATTAAGGAAAATATCAATATGAACAAACATGCATAATCTTTAGGTTGCCATGTTAATTTGCATAGCAGTCATACACATTGCAATGGTAGGTTTATCCACAGTTAATGTGTTTTATCAAGGTTGATCAAATGCAATACTAAGATTTCAGTCAATTATTTAAATTTTATACAGTCCTTAACAATCATGTACATGTGATGGGTTACAACATTTCACATTTTATAAAATATTATTGGAACATCACAAATTGTTCAAAAATATGTAGCAAAAACACAGCCTATCATGAACTTCTACTAAGCTGTTATGATTTTCAATCTTTCATCAGCTGATTGTTAATTTATAAGCAATGTTGTTTTAGTATATATGAAACATTGCTCCTGGAGTATGTCAGAAATTATACTTAATAGTAAATTGTTGAGCAAAGCAAGTGATGTTTTTTTACTTGGTAAGATATTAAAAACTATAGGTGAGCAGATAATGAATCAGGAACTTCTTTCACTGGGTGAAAAATCCTCTTCATCTTTAGCAAAGTTAAGGCCAACTCTTTTGGGAATTTTCTCAATCTTGCAACCCCTGATGGCTAAAAACAATTAAAACCACCTTAAAGCAATTATTGAACAAAATACATAGCAAACTTTCTTAAGCTATAATAGATTATTATCCGAAAGGTTAATGATAATGGTAAAAGCTGATGTTGCATGCATGGCCATTTGTTTTTATTGTTGTGCATAGAATTTATGCAGTGTAATGAAATTATAATATTCCTAGGAGAATGTATATGTACAATGTACAATGTACACACCATTCATATAATTTGGAAGCTAATCAATTAGGGTAAAAATGGAAACAAATTCTTCCATGAACTTAAAGCTGTATATACACATAGCTACTCCTAGTATGCAAACATCGAGAAGCTGTAGTAAACTCATCTACACTTTAATGGTATATTCTTTAAGTATTGTGATTATAATTTATGTACGGAAAAGTAATTGCAAACAAATCAGTAAACAGTCTCAGTTATAAATTATGATGAGGGCAATGTTAAAAGGCTTCACTTAAAAACACAGTCTAGCATGAACTTCTAAGCTGTTAAGATTTCTGTCTTTGGGCAGCTGGTTGTTAAGATTCCTATCTTTTGGCAACCAGTTCAATAGCTATTCTGTGGTAAATATTAGTGTAAATATAATTCATATATGCTAAAAGGAAAAATATAGGCCATTATTTTGTTAAAAAATATGTATTATATATAACTAAAAAACACAGTCTGGCTTTGATTTCTAAGCTGTTAAGATTTCTGTCTTTGGGCAGCTGATTGTTAAGATTTCAATCTTTTGGCAATCAATCATTAGCTATTCTGTGACAATTATATAACAATATATATCTATAATATATAAATTTTGCCTAAAATATAAAAAACCCTCATGAAATGCACCAATGCACCTCATTTCAATGCATCTTGAAACGTCTATCTAAGGGTTATGTTATGTTAAAGTTATGATTACAGCAGCTTTCTGAATATTTGTGGTAGGTAAGAAAGTAATGTCCCTTTTCAGTATTGGCAAACTTTTAAATTTTGTTTGTATTGAGTATGGCTTTGAAATGGCAAACATTTGTACCTACTATAATTAGTGTGTGATGGAGGTAGGATTGATGAAAACCATCATACAATTTATTTATTTACAAGCAGGTACAGTTAGCTGTGTACAAATTAGCTACAATAAACACAATCGTAATCTATTTATATTAATAAAAACAAAAAAAGTGATGAGCCCAGCCGTAAAAGCGTTGGCCTCGCACTATTGTTGTTGTGTTGTGTTGTTTCAGGACTATAGTATGACATAACTCTTGTTATTATTAAATAACTTACCTGTTATTGTTATACGACCTCCGAATTTCGCCATTTATTCGCAATTTCGCCGCAATTCCTTGGCGCAAAAATTGTCACTAACATGTCGAAGAGGAAATTTCCCAAAGGAAATTTCCTACGATTTCCCAACACTGAACTGTATATATTACGGATGCTTTTGACGATACAGAATCATCAACTTTCTACCCATGTGTTTACGTATCCAAGCAAAAAAAGTAAAAGTATTTTTTTATATATAACTTCTTTTACACAGGTAATTAAAGAAATTGATGGATATTTCTCTTTTATACAGCTTTTTTACGACTTACGAGGCTACTCAGCGCTCATCGACTGAGGATATACGATACTCGACATCCCTGCGGCAGCAAAAAAAATTAATCAAATAAAAATCATCGTGCGTTTGGTAACATTTATTGTCTTTATTGTCTAAACAAATCAAGTGCAATTTCAATTTGTGACCGTGATGAGAAGAAATGCTGGATAACAGTTGACACCGGCATTGAACTGAAACAACCTTTGCCTATTCCGTGGTATATAAACGCATTTCCTGCAATATTTACACAATATAACTCGTTGATTATCCCGTATTCATGCGTACAATCACATTTTCTATGCCGAAGTGTGAATACTAGGTCTTGAAAAATATTCACAGAGTATTCGAAGGTATTCTAGGTCAGAATACGCGGTGTGTTTTATTCACAGGTATTCACATCGGAATACCCCCAATATTCCGAGGATATTCACAGTGAATATCTGTGAATACGTGTGAATATGGACCATATTCGAACTCATATTCGCACGTATTCACCTGTGAATACGCGGTTTTTCATGCAGTGTTGAGCAACAGCTCGGTGAAGATGAACAAAACAAAAATGAAGAATGGGCCATGGGTTTTTTACGAAGATGTTTTGGTAAGAGCCAAATTATGCAACTGAGTTGTTTATAAACCACAACTCATTTTACATTGCTCTGCAACAAAGATTGCAGCAATATGTGAATTTACGATGTTCTTTTTCTTTCTCATATAGGTCACAGAAGGTAAGAAAAAAAAACGCATTAAGAGTTTGCATTTGCAGGTAATTCCATAGGAATAAACTATATTTGGAAATAGAAAGTCCCTTTTTAGAGCATGCAAATAATATTCTGATTCATGTTTTATCTAATTTTTCAACATAATTATATGAGGTTCTAAATATTTTTATGTTCTACACTCCAAGCAGATTACAAGGCACATAACGTAGCAAAAATATCGTTTTTAATGACATTATTCGCATTATGGAGTCCTTTTGACAAATTGAACAATAGTAATACATATATATGTTACGTGTTTATTTCTATAACCTTAACTTTGTTGACTTTATCAAACACAAAAAATACAACAAATTTAATGAATAAACTATAAAAACCAGAGAGGTGCTGAAATCACCTAACGCTCGCCTGCACTGTTTGTCTAGAATAAGGCTAAACTCTGTATGAAAGGTATCTGTATGAAGCACAAATTACCGATCTTTTTATTACAAATTACAAGGCTAAAATCCGCGTTGGAAGGTAATATTAAGCACAAACTTCAGATATTAGTTGTGACCTCAGAATTACTGGCCAAAACTGGCCTCGGAATTACATTAGTTTTATTTGTGACCAATATTTCTTCCGTTTGTCGCAATCCGCGCACGTGATATCAACAGGTAAGTTAACGGACCAGGCAAAAGTCCCTGCTTTAAGCCGGGCGCACACACAACGATTTTACGGTAGTTGGTCCATTCAGGTTTAGACATATAGGCAGCGCTTGCCCAGACATGTTTCCTTCTCGCGGCGCTCGCGCCTCGCGCGTGTACGCGAGTCTACTTGGTCTAATCTGACCAAGTATAGATTGCCAGTCGCCACATTTTGATGAAAACATCCATCTAGACAATCTAGACAGGAATCGGCCGACTAAAATCGTCGTGTGTGCGCCTAGCTTTATGAAATAAACAAGATTGGATTTTTATATCTACACAAAAAAGGATTATGCATCAAACAACGAAAAGGTATGTACATAAATCTTATAGGTGCTTTAATAATATATTTGCATGTGTACTACATAAATAATATGCAAATATATGTCACATGCGTTGCCATTAATTTGCCTTTGCATTCCGAGCCTATCGGCTTTCTACTATAAATACTTATGTGCTAAAGCTTGTAATTGCGAATTATCTGACAATATTCTTTAAACTTTAACGTTGGACTATGTTTTATTATATTTTCACTCCCTGAATGATTTCTATATTAAGCGATTGAATTTTGATACGGCATGTCACAACACAATCTCATAATTTATAATTGTACATGTACAATACAAACAATGGTAAGCATACAGGTGAAAATATTTGAAAGTTTCTCATTTGGCTTAGGGTTGTACAAATAGTTTCGTCAAATATGATTCAGCTACAACTTGAACTAAAAAAACAGGGCTACACAATAGCCTTGAAAATCGTAATGAGCGTGATAACTCTGGATAACTCTAACATTGACTTTATCATGATGCTAATAAGCTTAACATTTGCCTTCATTTGATAATTTTGAGCAAAGCTCTCTTTATTATGTATAAATGTGTACCAAATGGCACTGAATAGTCCAATGCATATCTATGACTTATATTTATGATGATTCCTTGATGTAAAGCCATAATTTTAAAAAATATAGCATCTTAACATTGACCTTATCATTATGCTAATTAGCTTAACATTCACCTTATCATTTGATAATTTTGACCAAATTTTGACCAATTTTGACCGCCCCCGGCGGGGACGGGGGCGGGGACGGGGACGGGGACGGGGACGGGGACGGGACGGACGGGGACGGGGACGGGGACGGGGACGGGGACGGGGACGGGGACGGGGACGGGGACGGGGACGGGACGGGACGGGGACGGGGACGGGGACGGGACGGGGACGGGACGGGGACGGGGACGGGGACGGGACGGGGACGGGGACGGGGACGGGGACGGGGACGGGACGGGGACGGGGACGGGGACGGGGACGGGGACGGGGACGGGACGGGGGGACGGGGACGGGGACGGGGACGGGACGGGGACGGGGACGGGACGGGGACGGGGACGGGACGGGGACGGGGACGGGGACGGGGACGGGGACGGGACGGGGACGGGGACGGGGACGGGACGGGGACGGGGACGGGGACGGGGACGGGGACGGGGACGGGGACGGGACGGGACGGGGACGGGGACGGGACGGGGACGGGGACGGGGACGGGGACGGGGACGGGGACGGGGACGGGACGGGGACGGGGACGGGGACGGGGACGGGGACGGGGACGGGGACGGGGACGGGGACGGGGACGGGACGGGGACGGACGGGGACGGGGAGGGGGGGACGGGACGGACGGGGACGGGGACGGGGACGGGGACGGGGACGGGACGGGGACGGGACGGGACGGGGACGGGGACGGGGACGGGGACGGACGGGGACGGGGACGGGGACGGGGACGGGGACGGGGACGGGACGGGGACGGGGACGGGGACGGGGACGGGGACGGGGACGGGGACGGGCGGGACGGGGACGGGGACGGGGACGGGGACGGGACGGGGACGGGGACGGGACGGGGACGGGACGGGGACGGGGACGGGGACGGGGACGGGGACGGGGACGGGGACGGGACGGGGACGGGGACGGGACGGGGACGGGGACGGGGACGGGACGGGGACGGGGACGGGGACGGGGACGGGACGGGGACGGGGACGGGACGGGGACGGGGACGGGGACGGGGACGGGGACGGGACGGGGACGGGGACGGGGACGGGGACGGGGACGGGGACGGGGACGGGGACGGGGACGGGGACGGGACGGGACGGGACGGGGACGGGGACGGGGACGGGGACGGGGACGGGGACGGGGACGGGGACGGGACGGGGACGGGGACGGGACGGGGACGGGGACGGACGGGGACGGGGACGGGGACGGGACGGGGACGGGGACGGGGACGGGGACGGGGACGGGGACGGGGACGGGGACGGGGACGGGGACGGGGACGGGACGGGACGGGGACGGGACGGGGACGGGGACGGGGACGGGACGGGACGGGGACGGGGACGGGGACGGGGACGGGGACGGGGACGGGGACGGGGACGGGGACGGGGACGGGGACGGGGACGGGACGGGGACGGGGACGGGGACGGGACGGGGACGGGACGGGGACGGGGACGGGGACGGGGACGGGACGGGGGGACGGGGACGGGGACGGGGACGGGGACGGGACGGGGACGGGGACGGGGACGGGGACGGGGACGGGGACGGGGACGGGGACGGGGACGGGGACGGGGACGGGACGGGGACGGGGACGGGGACGGGACGGGGACGGGGACGGGGACGGGGACGGGGACGGGGACGGGGACGGGGACGGGGACGGGGACGGGGACGGGGACGGGGACGGGGACGCTAAGACTATAGCAATAGCTCTCTTGCACTAAAGTGCAGGCGAGCTAAAAAACTATATGAATTCTGGAAGCTATTTTAAAGTTTTTGTACGTCAACAACTCCTTATAAAGAAATCCTAGTTGGGAAACAACTAATGAAAAGGAAAATATTGTTACCATAGCAACTAAATCATAAAATTCGATTAAAAAAACAACACATTGACAGCCGAAAAAAGAGTAAAAGTCCAAAGTAAGAATTTTTCGGGTAAGTTTTTTATTTTTTACAGTGTTTTGGCCTTTTCCAGAAATGTTTTTACACATTTTAGCCGCATTTTGCTTTGGTATTGTAGTTTTGTTTACATTTTTCACTGAAGACTGGAAGCATTTCACAGCGGGCCTGATGCAAAATTCCGGCCCGCTGTGAAATGCTTCTCAGCCAATCAGTTTGCTTTATTTAGACAGTTGAAAACTAAAAAGTTTTAATACAGGAAGCCGTGCAAGTAAAAAAAACTATCGTGCAACTTTGCAGATATCAATGAATGTGCAGATAGTCCATGTGGTTACAATGCAAACTGCACAAACACGAATGGTTCATACATTTGTGAATGTCGAACTGGATATGAAGGAAATGGAATTAATTGCACAGGTTAGATCCGGGTGCGATTGTCAGAGAGGCTGGATAAGGCAAAGTTTAAATATACTCTCATAGATCTTGTGAATGAATGAAACTGCATATGTGCATTTAATGTATACTTCAAATGACAATGAACATGAAAATGTATACCTTCAATGTACATTGAAATATTTCAGCTTATTTGTCCAATAAAAAGATGACATTTTTACTGGAATAAACATAATTTATTTATTTATTTTTTCGTGTCTGAAATCCAGGTTTTTAACCAATCAAAAAGAGGCTTTTCACGGCGGCCATCTTTGTGGTCAACTTCAAAGTTCCGACGGTGAACATGCATGCATACATTAATAAATGGAAAACTTTGAAGTTGACCTGAAATATTCCATGAAAAACCTGTATTGCTTCCCCTCTTTGTATATCTACAGCACCGTACTTGGACCGCTTCATTTGTTGCGGGGGGGGATGTGTTTTTTATTCATGCATATTTACATATAATAGGCACAATAGCGTACAAAAGAAATCATTCGGGCATGAATAAGACAAAAAAATGAATAACATGCACCCCCCTCCAATTAAGCTATGTAGCTATGTGTATATATATATATATATATATATATATATATATATATATATATATATATATATATATATATATATATATATATATACACCCATATACATTCATTTGCAAAAACGTTGGCCGCAGATAGATAGATAGATAATTACTCGAAGTCTAATTAGAATTGCATATGATTACATTTGCTTGGGATTTCAATCATATTACACAACATATGCAATTCTAATTAGATTTCAGGTATCTATCTATCTATCTATCTATCTATCTCTCTATCTATCTATCTATCTATCTATCTATCTATCTATCTATCTATCTATCTATCTATCTATCTATCTGTGGCCAACGTTTTTGCAAACGGGTGTATATATATATATATATATATATATATATATATATATATATATATATATATATATATATATATATATATATTTATATATACAGGTGTAGTGATAGAAACAATCGTGAAGATAGAAACTAGCGCATACAAAATCGTCTGGGTAGAGTGCTCAATGCTAATGCAGAGCGGCATAACACAAGATGAGAAAACGCAGGTTACTTCATCGAAATTTTATTTACTACAGGACTGTTTCGTATGACAAGCTTATAGCTTGCCACACTCGTCAGGTAAATAATATAATATTACAACAGCACGACGGACTATATACAGGAGATGCATAATTAATTAATTAGATCATGTTACATGGGTGTTACTAAGAAGAAATTTCTTTCGATGTCGGCAGGCGGATACGAGTTCGTTGCGTTTGTTAAGAGAGCTTCGTGCTGTTGTAATATTATATTATTTACCTGACGAGTGTGGCAAGCTATAAGCTTGTCATACGAAACAGTCCTGTAGTAAATAAAATTTCGATGAAGTAACCTGCGTTTTCTCATCTTGTGTTATGCCGCTCTGCATTAGCATTGAGCACTCTACCCAGACGATTTTGTATGCGCTAGTTTCCTTCACGATAGTTTCTATCACTACACCTGTATATCACGCTCCTTCACTGTCGAGCACTCTAATACATATCGAAATGGAACCCACAAACCTTGGCTACTCCACGAAGAATATCCCAACAGCACAGTCGAACATGTACAGAAGATGCCTAATTGAAAAAATGCAATCCTTCCTTCAACGTTTGAGATGGAAAGCGCACCACTTTCTCCACAAAACTGACACTTCAATCAAGAGAGAAACATATGGCTTCAAAACAACAACATCACCACCACCAATCGCCGAACTTCATGATTTCGAGGAAAGAATGCTAACGCTAGTTCAGAACATTGAATTCCAACCGTCAACATCTGCATTCCAAAATAAACTGAACCAAGACATTAAGAAAATAAAGAAAGACAACGAACTGTTCATACCCGCCGACAAGACTACCAACTTCTACCGCGTGAAACCCGAGCCATACAAACAACTTCTCCATGCACAACAGCATTACAAAAACCTACAAGAAAGCGGCAGCAAACAGCACAGCCGAAGTAGCCAAAGAAGAACGGAGAATCGCGAAAAACCTAAAGTTAGATAGTAGAATCGATGCAATGGCCGAGAAAGAATGTTTCATTACGTTAAAAGACCACAAGCCAAACTTCAACAACAATCCGACAACGCGCCCATTACCAGAAATTTGCGACATGATAATTTGCATGTATACTAATTTGCATTTAACTTTCAGCATAATGGCCTTCAACTTTTACTATAAAATACATTAGGTTATTATACAAAAAGTTAAAAATGCCGTTCCCCTAGACCTTGCCCACTGTTTACCGACCTCTAGATCGGTAGAGCAGCTGTTTAGAAACGTTTTGGTGACAGAATTTTTTAGCTTGGGCATTTCTGCATTCTGCCAAATTTAAAGATATATCGCTCAAAGTTTTGTCCGTGTTCTGTCCACGAACTTTTAAAATCGCTCACATTGATTCGAATATTTCGATTCAGATAGTTGATAAATTGACGTATAATGTACCAAAAAAATTGTTGAAGATATTGTCTTTCGTATTTGTGCATAAACGTTCTTGTACGGCTCGGATTTTTACTGCAATCACTTTAAAAAATATTATCAGTCTTATCTGTAACTTGAATAATACGAAGGCTATATACCCATTTGTTCACAATCATTTGGCCGAACGTAGAAATACCTAAGGTAAGTAATTCGATCATTAAAACGTTGGGAAACGGTTGTTTTATTGTTCCAGAGGTCGGCAAACAGTGGGCAAGATCTAGGTCAACGGCATTTTTAGATTTTGTGTATTTACTATATGTATTTAATAGTAAAAGTTGAAGGCCATTATGCTGAAAGTTAAATGCAAATTAGTATATATGCAAATTATCATGTCGCAAATTTCTGGTAATGTCATCAATCCCGCCAAATCCGAGATCGGCATTATTAGTAAAAAAATCCTCGAGCGAATCAACAATAAAATTATATCTTCCACCGGTGTGATGCAATGGAAAAACAGTATCTCTGTCATTCAATGGTTCAAGAACATTGATAACAAACCCGCACACTCGTTTATCAGCTTTGACGTCGTTGATTTTTATCCATCGAAAACAGACGAGCTTTTAAACAAGGCTATCGCATTCGCGTCCCAATATGATGAGATAACAGAAGAAGAAAGTCACATCATAATTCAAGCCAAGAACTCCTTGCTCTTTAGTGAAAACCAAGCTTGGTGCAAGAAGGACAGTAGCTCGAATTTTGATGTGACAATGGGCAGTTTTGACGGTGCGGAAACATGCGAACTGGTGGGAGCCTACTTGCTATCACAACTTCCTGCCACGTATAGAAATGCTATTGGTTTGTACCGAGATGATGGCCTGAGCGCGTTCAACGTCCCTCGAGATAGAAAAAATAAAGAAAGAAATCTGTAAAGTGTTCAGCGACAATAAACTCAAACTAACTATCGAGGCTAACAAGAAATGCGTAAACTTTCTAGACATTACATTCAATCTAATGACCGGAACATTCAAACCGTATACAAAGCCAGGCAACATGCCCCAGTACGTCAACGTCAAGAGCAACCACCCTCCCTCCATTATGCGTAGAATCCCCGAAACGATCAATGAACGCCTTTCAAAAATTTCATCAGACAAGGAATCATTCGATTCAAGCAAGCGCCCATACCAAGAAGCGTTAAAGAAGAGTGGATACAACTATAACTTACACTACAATCCCCAACCTACTCAACGAACCCGACAAAGAACCAGAAACGTCACTTGGTACAACCCACCTTACAGCTCAAACGTCAAAACCGATATTGGCCACAAGTTCCTTAAAGCCATAGATGAATCCTTTCCCCCAAACCATCCATTGCACAAAATCTCAAATAAAAATTATATATAATATATATATATATATAATATATAATATAATATATATACGTTTTTTAAAAAAAAGTCCGTCTCAACAGAATAATATGAATATATTCAAACGCTAGTTCCTGCCTGGATTGTACTGCATTAAAAAGTGAAATAGCTACTATCCTCGACCAAGCAGTTTCCAGTAATTTATAATGCTAATAATGTTCTTAACTTGAATACACATTTATTATTATTCTAGATGTCGACGAATGTGAAAAAAAAACGCACAAATGTGACAACAATGCAAAATGCACCAACACTCCAGGTTCATTCAGCTGCCAGTGTCAACATGGTTACACAGGAGAAGGACGGAAATGCGAAGGTAGCTATGAAATTGTTTTCTTTTGTGAAATAAAAAACAAAACATAGCAATATACTGATATTTTTATATTTGTGAATCTCGAACTGTATATGAAAGAAATGGAACAAATTGCACAGGTTAGATCAGGGGCGGTTGTCCGAAAGGCGTTTAGATTAAATGCTGGATAAGCCAAAGTTTAAAAACACTCTCATAGACCTTGTGAATGACTGAAATTGGATATACGCATTTAGTATGTACTTCTGTTGAAAATTAAACTATTTACATCGAAGTATTTCAGCTTATTTGTCCAATAAAAAGATAAATTGACCTTTATTTTGAGCTTGTCCACAGGGTAACTTATATCCACACATTTTACGTCATTTTTACAGCAATAAACAGAATTTATATATTTATTTTTTCGGGTCTGATATGCAGACTTTTAACCAATCCAGTAGAGGTTTTTCATGGTGACTGTCTTCATGATCAACTACAAATACCGACAAGGAACATGCATATAAAAGGGAGAACTTTGAAGTTGTACACAAAGATGGCCGCCATAAAAAATTTGTATTACTTCCCCTTTTTGTATATCTATATCACCGTAGTTAGAGCGCTTACGAAAAAAATGAATAAAATGCACCCCCATCAAATTAAGCTATGCAGCTATATATATGTGTGTATACGCCTTTTAAAAAAAAGCCCGTCTTGCAGAACAGAATAATATGAATATATTTTAATGCTAGTTGCTGCCTTGATTAATTGCACTGCATTACAAATAATAAAATATCTATTATCCTCGACGAAGCAGTTTCCAGTTATTTATAATGCTAATAATGTTCTTAACTTGAATATACCTTTATTATTATTCTAGATGTCGACGAATGTGAAAAAGGAACGCACAAATGTGACAACAATGCAAATTGCACCAACACTCCAGGTTCATTCAGCTGCCAGTGTCAACATGGTTACACAGGTGAAGGACGGAAATGCGAAGGTAGCTATAAAATTGTTTTCAGTTGTGAAATAAAAAACAAAACATGGCAATATACTGATATTTTTATATTTGTGAATGTCGAACTGGATATGAAGGAAATGGAATAAATTGCACAGGTTAGATCCGGGGCGGTTGTCCGAAAAAAGTTAAATGCTGGATAAGCCAAAGTTTTAAAATATTCTCATAGACCTTGTAAATGACAGAAACTGGATATACGCATTTAATATATGTACTTCCATCGACAATCAAACTATTTACATCGAAATATTTCAGCTCATTTGTCCAATAAAAAGATAAATTTGACCTTTATTTTCAACTTATCCACAGGGTAACTTATCCACACATTTTACGTCATTTTTACAGCAATAAACAGAATTTATATATTTATTTTTTCGGGTCTGATATGCAGGTTTTCAGGCGCGGATCCAGCCGAAAATCTGACCGTGTCATATAGGACTAAAATTTTCCGGGGGGGGAGACTATGGACCCTCCGAAACAAACATTTTCTGAGCTTTGGTTCTACAATAATCTTCAGCGAACGTTTAAAGGCGAATATTGAAATTCCCTGTACTTTCATAAAACCACAAAACCATTTTCAAAATTTTGATAAGGTATTTACCGATATTTCATTCACACTCAACTTAACGTGAAATTTGCATACACAAATTATTCACAGACCACAGCGTAAATGCAAATTTGTATCATGGGGCCGGGCGCTTCCATTAAGCGGCTAAAAAGGTCAGACTGGTCATATTTTAAATTGAAATAGAGTATTATGTTAAGAATATAACGGTGAAACTGCATTTTCCGTGCTAGGCAGATGAAAAATACTGTAATCTGTCTGTACCGAAATACAACAGAACCGGTCTGGCCGTTTTTCCATATAGAGAAGAGCGCCTCACTATTGTTCAATTTAAAACCTAAGAGTTTAAGTAAATATTTTCAGTAATTTTCAGTATTAGTCTCTTGAGAAATAGTAGTTTAAAAATTGTCGTTGCGATTGTATAACGCGAGCGAGCGAGCGAGCTAAGCCTTTCTTTATAGTAATAATTCCATCGTGTTGTAGCCTGAAGAGCGATATTTCCCCTGAAATATGCTCGCTTAGATTTGCTTTTGAGAAATTTCGACGGATTCATGTATTAATGGATTCGATTCAGCCTGAATCAGCCAGGATGCAGCGAACAGACCAATTTAACGTGTTATGTATAAACTATATCCGAGTTCGAAGTCGAGAAGTGTCGAACTTTATTGTTTATCACGCTTATTGCGCAATCAAAAACAGGCCACCGTGTCGCACCGTGGCTCACGTGACAAAAGCTTCCCTTGTGATTGGTTTGCTACACTGCACCGTGTCCGAACGTTACTATATTTAGTAACAATTGCGCAATAACCTGCATGCTGATCATGACAACTAGTTGCTGTGATCGCCGCATCGAATGCACGACTAGCTTCCGAACATACTCGGCACAATTCGGCAAGCTTTCGGCGAATTTTATAGTTCAGTGTTAACTGAACAATCATAATATAAAACAAGGAATAATAATTGGAAATTTGTTCCTACTGAATTCAGCAGGAATTGGTATAATATGAAAGATACTACCCAAATTATTTGTGATTCAAAGAAATAATATGTACTTCTAAATAATCTGTGAATATTAGATTGCAGATGGGGAAAATTCTGGATGGGAAAATCTGACCGTGGCTCGAGCCACGTTCCATACGGTCTACATCCGCCTGATGCCGGTTTTTAACCAATCCAGTAGAGGTTTTTCATGGTGGCTGTCTTCATGATCAGCTACAAATACAGACAAGGAACATGCATATAAAGAGGAGAACTTTGAAGTTGTACACAAAGATGGCCGCCATGAAAAACCTCTATTACTTCCCCTTTTTGTATATCTATATCACCGTAGTTAGAGCACTTAATTTGGGGGCTGTTATTGTATTTGTCCATATTTTCATATCATTGGGACAATAGCGTACAAAAGAAATCGTTCGGGCATGAATAAGACGAAAAAATGAATAAAATGCACCCCCATCAAATTAAGCTATGCAGCTATATATATGTGTGTTTACGCTTTTTTAAAAAAAAGCCCGTCTTCCAGAACAGAATAATATGAATATATTTTAACGCTAGTTGCTTGCCTTGATTGCACTGCATTACAAATAATAAAATATCTATTATCCTCGACGAAGCAATTTCCAGTAAATTTATGATGCTAATAACGTTCTTAACTTTAATATACCTTATTATTACTCTAGATGTCGACGAATGTGAAAAAGGAACGCACAAATGTGACAAAAATGCAAAATGCACCAACACTCCAGGTTCATTCAACTGCCAGTGTCAACGTGGTTACACAGGAGAAGGACGGAAATGCGAAGGTGGCTATAAAATTGTTTTCAGTTGTGAAATAAAAAACAAAACATGGCAATATACTGATATTTTTCATGGTTGACTATTTTTCATGATTACTTCATGGTTGGCGAGTGCGTACGATATTTATGCACGAGTTGTGAATCGGAAAACGAACGCGTGAGCGTGGCGAACGAGTGAGTTTGCGATCCTTCACAACGAGTTTTAATAAAAATCGTACAAACGAGCCAACAATGAAGTAATTTGTTTATTAAATGTGTATAGACAATTTGACAACGAGAAAATCACAAAATGATAATAAACTTTTCAACTTGAATCATCAAGTAATCTAAATAAACAAGCTTCTACTTTTTGTGAATCTACCAAGATTAAAATTAGCATAAATAGTTATAGATCCATTTCAATATTCAACCCAAGGGGTCCATTGTCTTGAGTATAATAATCCAATATTTATGGTCTTAAATAATATATTAATCCAATACTTTGTAGGTTCTGCCAGATTAGTTTAATGATAACTATCTCACAACATTAATTAACCATTACGCTCTTTTGTCAGAAAATGACAATGAAAAACGCTTATGAGTGTTCCCGGTTGCAAATCACTTTCTTTTTACATGCTTTATATAATTATTCCATCTCAAACGGAATTTATCCGTTGTCTGAGCAACATATTGTTTGCTATATACACGAAGAACCGACAGATTACGTTGATGAAAACCGCCTTCCTGCGATACTTGCCGACTGTCCCAAGTACATCGCTGAGCATCGGCAACTATCTGGGAGTGGTGAAAACCAGGCCTAAGAGTCCAGTTAAAGTTATGGTTCACTACATAATTGTTTCGGTCTCCTTCATGTTATGACATGTCAATCATTTAGGTTTCTTACATCCCTGTTCCCTTATTAATGGTGCATGGTAGCCTCTACCTTAGCTTTAATCAAATAGCTTCTTAAGTTGCGGCCAGTTCTAATGCCGCAAAACTAAAGTTCAGGGTAAATACTTTACGAGCTTCTGCATCTAAATACAATATGTGCAAGTATTTCTTAATCACCAGACCGAAGTGCTTTAGCAAAGGATGAAAAGTTATTTTTAAAGGCCCTCCAGTCTTACATCTTCGTTCCTTAATTGCCTTTCATTGTTCTATGTTCTATGATATATTCATCAAACTCTCTTAGTTTCCTTCTCAATGAACCATGTAGGGTTTGATCTATTTTTGAACCATTGAAAATGATGAATAACTATTTCGGAAAATTTTGGTAGATCTATAAGTAGAAGCTTGTTACTCCGGCGTGAGCGACGGAGTTGAAAATTCGCCTCGGTTTTGTTTTGTTTTAGTTTTTTTTTGTTTTTTATATTTTTCGTAGTCGCAAGTCTGTAATGGCGCGAAATATATTAGTTAATTTAAATGTGTATGTGACCGTATTTATCTACGTTCCAGTCTTGTCTCCCAAGAGTTGTGGTGCACAGCTTTGGTAAATTTTTCGATGCGTGATTCGATTTCGCTCGCATGATACGGCAATTCCTTCAAGAGCAACAAATAAACCGTTCTTTTCATGCTTTTCGACTAAGTTTAGATTGAATTGGGGTAAGAATATATTTAATACATGTACATTCTGGTCCTATTTTGATAATATCGCTGCTATTTCGCCGCTTAACAAGATGATGTGGTCGTGTATGGGCGCGTTGACACGTCGTAGTTTGCACAGGATTGTTAATATAACTATATAAGCCCGAATCTCAAAGGCAAAGTGTAAGACAAAGCGAATATATCATGTGGTTATTTACATTTTTGAACAATTGATCTTTTATACTTTTTAAAGTACGATGTGCTTCTGAATTTCGCAATCGAACATTTAGGTTCGCAAGGCATCTAAATGCGAATATGAACTGTATTGTTTATGTTCAAAAGCTCTATATTGAAGACTGGCACGTGCGCCGAAGTTAACGCCAGAACAGGCGTCTTGTTATATTTAGTTTACTTGATGAAGATATTAAAGTTGAAACGTTTATAATGATTATGTGATTGATTTATAAATGGCTTTTTGCCAGTTGATATGATTGCCTTGTGACACGCGTGAAACACCGTGTAGCCATATTTTTAATGGCCTTTTTAGATACTGCTCTACTTCTCTTATTACACCTTTTTAAAAGGTGCTCTTGCAACATAATCATGTTTTGGTGAAAAACTATATGCATGTACATGATCAAAATATATATTAATAATTGTAATTTCCAAAATTTATATAATAATACTATTCCTAAATCATGCAAAATATTTTTTATTGTCTGATTTATATCCCAAACAAAATTACGTATTCTGGTTGACTGACATCAAGATTATTTTATTAAAATAGTTTTTAAATACTACTAATTAAAAATGCTTGAGATTAATGCAAAGTAAACTCGATCATAGCAAAATGGGTATATCAGAATAATGCTAAAAACGGTTTTATATCACACATCATTTATATTCAAACATGGAACATTTAAAAAAATTTTCAACTCAATATAATATTTTAACCAATGATAACGAAATTAATGACCTAAAAACTGAGCATGCATGCATTAATGGCATTCTTTGTATCACACGCGGCCCTCATTTCTTAGAAACGCGATGTGCCGCAAATTTGCATAAACCTGTCAAATGCCATCTTATTTCCAGTTTAAAAGGTATTTTAGAAGCAAAGTTAGGTGCCACAATTGAGAATTTTGCAATATTCCAGGATCTATAATTTTTTAATTTCACGTCAAGCGTTCAATGGCCTTCATTACTTTGGCTTTAAAATTACATATTGCTGATTTTCAGTTGAAGATACACTAAACCCCAGCTTCAACCCACATAATTAGTTCCGATGGTACAAAAAAAAGAGAAAAAATGGTGCCATTCCATGCATTGGTAACCTCAAAAATTAGCATATTTTGGCCAATTTTGGACGGTTGAGAAAAGTTCGCATAGTGGCTGTAAAAACACTTCGCGATGATTCTAACTCAGGTTTCTTAGTCAGTATAGATAAGAGTATCGACGGTAGAAATATAAAAGAAATCTATTTTTGAAGCTCAGATCCAATGATCCGCTTTTTCAAAGGCTCCCTATTAATAATTAAAATAATTTAACATAACACTAGCTATAGATGAGAAAATTAAACTCCGAATAAGGTAAGAATCTAGATCTTGTCGTATTTTTGCAATTTTTTCCAAAAAATATACGGCCGTTGCGAGTTGCTTATGACTACATTGCTTGCAATTCGGAAAAAATATATCCATACTTCTTTTCTTACACCCCTTCAAACTCTTTAACCCACAAAATTTTCTAACTATCATGTTACCCTCTCTTGTAGTACGAATTAATGTTTACACATTCGTTGTATTTGTCGGACGCAGATATTCTAAAGACAATAAATCTTAAACAATATTTTCAGCTGAATGCCCTCTTGGGTGGGAGAAATTCGATGGACTCTGCTTTTATATCAGCAATGGCGTTGCGACATCATGGAATAATGCGAAAGACGACTGTCTTCAGCGTGGGGGTCATTTGGCAGTTCCAACCAACACGAATATGAATAATTATCTAAATCAGGCTATGAAACAACATAACGTCAACGCAGCGTGGATTGGTATGTACCGAAAATCCGGAAGCATCTTTTACACAGTGAGAGATGAGGAGATCTCCTATGGAAACTGGAACCCAGGGGAGCCTAACAACGCTGGCGGGAATGAAAACTGCGTGGAAATGTTCAACGGAGCAACAGGGAAATGGAATGATTTGCCATGTTCGATCAGTCGTCATTACTTCTGTCAGCGGCAACTGTGAATATTCGACAACAGCTGCAATTGAAAATAAGAAGAAAATACGGCGACGGACTTTACATTTAAATATTTAATCTGAAAAGAATCGTTTTAATTTTTTTCAAGTAGTCAATCGTTTGCCGAGTTTCACTCTTTAATCGAAAATCAATATGAACGACATCTGAGAGCATTAATGATTTAAATATAAGTTATCTTCAAATCGAACCAGTAGCGTAGCTAGCCAGACGATTTTGTCCCGCTATGTTAATTTCGAGTTAATATAATAATTCAAGCTTTAGAAATCTATTGTTTTCACAGTCGGTTAACCCAAATCCGGATAACGGATATAATGGGTAACCACGGTAACCAGATAGCCGGATAACGGTACCTCTAGAAACTGATCATTGATAAATATCAATATTCGATATCGAAATAAAGATTATAGAGAACATTTTTAGTCTGAACGGTAAATTAGATTAATTAAGAACAACAGGGACTACAATTTCTATAACTAGAATATCTATATTTGCATTTTTGAATTTAGATGTCTTTCAGTGCATGTAGAAGTCTTCACTGCATTTAACAAATCCTGAATCTTATTGTAGTCAAAGGTAGGCGGACTGTGCTCGACCTCAAACTCGACAAAAAGTAAAAAGGACGAAAAGTAATATAAATGAACTTTCATCTGCAGTCTAGTCGCACGCCGAAGTCTGTGTGCTCGTAACATGACGAAAGTATCAAACAAATAAGCGCACAAGACGACCGGTATAGATAATCGAGGTGAAATATTCAAAGTCATATTCTCTCCTTTCTTGAAGCATTCCTAATCAAACATAACAAACCTTTCTATTACATCTTTTCTACAATTTTCTATTTGCGCTTTTTCTCTGTGTTGTATATATTTGCGTTTTAAAGTATTGTATTCCATTCTGTCTTAAGATCACTTGAAATAAAGTCGAAAATTAATAGTCTCAACCTGTGTCTTGTTTGATTTATATTTTGTTTCTCAAGATGTTCTTTTTATTCGCAATTTTTTTTTAACCCAACGAATTCGAATATTATTAAAGTTCACGCAGACTTTTAAATGAATATGGAGATAATATTCTATAGCGCGTAAGACTTAAGGACAAGCTAATATACCGTTCAGAATAGATATCGAATATTGATATTTATATTTATCCGATTAACTGGCTATCTGGTTATCCGGGTATCCGGCTAGGTTATTCGTGTTTTCTGCCATGCCCGGCAGAACGGCATTTAAGCACGGTAGAATGGATTTTGCAAGTAAGGTATAGCGAATACAGATTACGTTATTTTGGTACGGGCCAAACAAAAAAGTGTGCATATTGCTTATTGTTTACGGTACAGGCCAGAGACAAGGTATGTATTTATTTATTGAATGCTTGGCACCAGCCATTACATGAAATAGAATATTTCTGAGTGCAAATTTGAGTAGTGTTGTCAGTACCCACGAAGCAACGCCGTTCTAGAAGTGTGTTTTTCACGAGTCTAACTGGTGCTAACGATATTTAGTATAAACTTACTAATAGGCTATCACTTTTCCTGCGTTCTGATTGGCTACGCTACTAGTAGGCTATTAGTGATAGCCTATTAGTAGCAAAATTCAAAACAATGGCGGAAAATTCGCGTTTCGCCGAAGTATCTGAAGATTTTTTGGACGACTTGTTGGACAATTCCGTACCAGAAAAAACAAAAAAGCAACAAAATACGGAATTGCAATTTAGGGGTAAGAAAATACATAAAAATAACGTATACTCAATTGAATTTTTATATTTAAACTGAATTTTAAAACATTTTACGCGAACAACAATTAAAATATTTTCTTCCCTTTAATATACGAAATAAATTTCAGAATGGTTTGCAAGCCAACAAGAATTTTGTACACAAATTGAAGAAATTGTGTTTCCTAGTTGTAAATTAATGTTATAGTTTATACTAAAACAATTAGACAACTCGGCCTCGTTGTCTATGAGCAAATAGTCAACTCGGCTTCGCCTCGTTGACTATTCGCTCATAGACAACTCCGCCTCGTTGTCTAATTGTTAAATATCTGTTGCAGGTAATACGTAGCCGGTAGCGTAGCCAGCCTGACCAATTTTCCCGCTATGCTAATATTTTGGTGTTCATTGACTGTGAAAACAATAAATTTCTATAGACATGAGTAATTATAATAACATGAAATTTAAATAGCGGGACAAAATCGTTAGGCTGGCTACGCGCCTACGCCACTGCATGCACGTAGCAGTGCATGTAATATAGAAAGAGGCTCCAGATATAGTAAGAAGAAACTTGTGTGAATTTATTAAGGTTTTGTTGGGATCCACAGCAGAATCTACAACAAAAATCTATGTAAACATTATAAAGCAGTTTTCGCATGGTGTATACGGCAAGAGCAATCCCATTATCACCACCATTTCATGCCCCAGTTTTAGCGCCATTCATACATGACAAAGCACAGTCGGTAAATTCGGGTTCCTTATTTACTGTTGCTAGTGGCGCCCTAAAATGGCTTCACGGATTTTATCTAGACAGTAAGAATAACCCTTTGGACGGCGACTTTTGCAAAAATGTTGTAACAGCTTCGAAAAGGCAAGTAAGTCGTCCACTACAGAAGGAAAAGCCCTTATCATCAAAGGCAATAAAATATATCGACATCATAGACGAGTTTGGAAGAAGCCAAAACAACTTGAAAGATCTAAGGGTAGCGGCACTATGTGCGTTGGGATTCGCAGGACTCTTTCTTTATGACGAGTTAAGAAATATTCAAGCAAACCACATTGCATTTCATGTGGATCATATAAAAATACTCAAGAGCAAGACTGATGTATATCGGGAAGGGCAGTTTTTCTATATAGCTAAATCTAGCAGTAATTATTGCCCAGTGGAAATGTTTGTAAGATATATGGAGGCGGCGGAGATATACCGTCAGCTAGCTTAGTTCCAATTTTTTTTTCCTGTGACGTTTCGAAAGATAAATCAAGAACGTACGTTTTAAGGAAAGGAGAACTATCTTATTCAAGGTGTACGTAGAGAAATTTTTAAAGAATCCATGCCATCACTTGGTTACGACGCAAAGAATTATGGTTTGCACAGCTTAAGCGCAGGTGGGATAACTTCAGTTGTTCAGAACAGCAATAATACGGTTGAAGAAAGAATGTTGAAATTGAACAGAAGATAGAAGACTGATCGATGCAGCAAAGGACATGTACAGTAATGCTCAGAAATAACCTAATCAAAAACGCGTTCCGAACGCGTTCAGAACGCGTTCCGGACGCGTTCGAGGACGCGTTCGAGGACGCGTTCCGAACGCGTCCTCGAACGCGTCCGGAACGCGTTCCAGCATGCATTCGATATTCATCGGCTATCGACTCCGGATCTTGTCGTCTATACCCGGATATTCCCGATTTAGTTTAATCACACTGTGGTTTAATCTATGCTTTATAAATTGCGAAGCTCTTAGTTTTCGCTAGAAAAAGGGTTATTTATTTAAAATCCACCGGAAATACACACACACAAAAAAAAAAAGAAATTCTTCTTGAGGAAGGAATTAAAACCTCAACGTCGGCTATTTCTCTGTTTCTCTTGCGATATCGAAAGACGGGTAGCCTCGTGGACGGTGCTCGGAGTGGTCGAAAGCCGAAACTAAGCGAGGAGCATGGCAATTTTATAGATGTAAAAATGAAAAAAAATGACGAGTTAACATCCCGTGAGTTAAAAGAAAAGATTTCCGTAGATTGTGGAATTGATGTATCGACCGCAACAATTAGACCAGCAAGGCGGAAGCTGGATTGGAAAAAAGAAAACGCCAGATATTGCCAGTTTGTCCGAGAGCCAAACAAAATGAAACGGTTGGTTTTCTGTTTGAAGGCCTTGAGTGCATGAGCTGGATAAGTTTGAGAACGTGATATTTACAGACGAAACTTTATCGTATCAAGAATTGATGTAGTTTGGTCACTTTCGAAATATACGAGCATTCTCTTCGCATTTCGTTGACGCTGAATTTCACGTGTAGCCATGACTAAAACTTAATCTTTCGAATTTCGGCAGATTAAGTTGCCTAAGTTAAAATTGCTTTGGAATGTGACGATAGTTCGCCGGTAAAGTTATTGTTAATGTTATAAGGAAAATGTTATCTCAAGAATAAAATTGCTAATGTTTGTTTTTGTTTTTGAGGTGGTCGTTTCACAAACAAGTGCAGCGTAGGCGTACGGCTCTAAATCATGTTTTGACAGCATCAAAACCTCAATTGTTCACATGTTATGTGATGTGAATAAAAATCGAGATACTGTAATCTCCCTACTCTGTCTTAAGCCTACGATAAATATATATAAAACAAAGACCAAAAACAACTGTGTCTCTCAATACTATAGTTTCTGTGATAGACTGAGCCTGTGATCAGTAAAAACCGTACTTGATGCCTCAAACTTTGGCGTTCTATGTTGCCTCAACTCAAGTGTCAATTTTAAAACACTTTACAGTGCAAAACAAACACAAACACAATTGTTTAACTTTTAAAATATCGAACGTTTCTGTAATTATTGGAATTACTTTTTGATCACATCAGAGTGATTAGACCTCGCAAGATATCATGCAAAACCGGCAAGCATAACTAATTACACATTGTCATTGTCACAGATGTGAAGAATTGTTGTTCGTGTAAACGAACACTAAGCAACAAGCAAATTTCTTTGCCAGACGCCAGTCACTAAAAATTCATTCACAAAATACAAAAATGGACTTCGATACAGTTTGAATGCTGCTGTGTTGTCGCCGACAAGGAATGAAGTGCAGGTATGAACAAACATGCAATTGTTAACTGAAATAGCTTAGCTGAGAGCACGGGTCGATCATTATATAATTCAGGCCTTCGTTACACAATATCGGAACCTCAATTGTTTTATATGTAAGGCACAGTATGATATGAATACAATTCGAAATACGGTAATTACCGTGACTACTGTATACACTGTTTAAATGTATACAAACTAAAAACTAAAAACGATAAAGTTTGACGATAAAGTTTCGGCATTCACAAGTATGATCACGCGTATTCTTGATAAAACGCTGCCCAAACGTACTGTACGTTTTAATCCTTCAGATAAACCTTGGATGACCCCGCGTATAAAGCAAGAAATAAAGGCCAGACAAAAAGCGTTTACGTCAGGGAACAGATCAAGATACCA